AGTGTATCGAAATGACAGTTCAACAGAATTGCATGTTTCGATGGTGTTCTCGGACCAATACGTGCTAAAAAAGGCATCAATTTTGAAAAAAAAAAGAGACAAAAAAGGCTAAAAACTAAAAAAAATATTTTGTCTACTCTAAAAACTTATCTACGCTCTAAAAAAGCAACAATTTTGAAAAAAAAGAGATAAAAAAAAGGCTAAAAACTAAAAAAAAACTACTTTATCTACTTTAAAAACTTATCTATTTTTAAACTTTAAATCATTTTAAATTTTATATTTTACTTTAAATTTTACTTAAACTTTAAAAATTTATCTATTTTAAGAACTTAAAAAAAAAAAAAACTAAAAACTACTTTATCGTGCAAAACTAAAAAACATGCAACAGAATTTCATCATCTTCAGCATATAAAACGTATCGCCCCTATTCACAGGTTAACGTATTTCTCGATCACTGATACGGCGTTTACGTCACTGACGCGCTGTTGATCTTCTCCAGTTGCTGCTAAGCCGACAACCAGGCCACCGAGTTCTATCCTGAGCTCACCTCATCCACAATGCTCCGTATAATCGAGTTAGCGGATCAGGCCAACGCACTGGTGGCCTTCCTACTGGTCTTTTTATATGTCTTGGATAAATACCATTCGACAACGCGTTTCGTCCATCTGTTCTCAGTCATCTTTGCTATGTAACCGGCTCAGCTTTTTTCCCTTGTATTTCTTACCTTTTCCGGTCAAATATTAGAAGTTGAAACCATCGCCGTATTGGCCCTCTATGAAAAACGGAAATATTCGAGAAGTAGCCCGACATATGTGTACAGTAACCAGTTGATGGACAAGACTATCGATGGCTTCCTCTTTCGAGGGTTGCTTACAAAGCAAACTTTAGTCAAACGCAGAATTTTTTTACATTTCGCATAAAACTTAGCTAATCGCTTTTGTAATCATTTTTAACATTAGTCTAATTTTAATACCACCGTCCTAATTTTAGCGTTATCTACCCAATTTTAATATTTTTAAATTAAATTTGTCAATTCTTTCTTGGAAATTCTGGGCCCATACGGTTAGATTACACCAGCACTCTTAGCCTAACAATATTTAATTTTTTATAGAAATTTTAAAGATCCAAATGGCGAATATCCCTGGCTAGGAGACTGGAAGAAAACTGGGGCTTGAAATTTTCTATTTGTTAACATATGGCGTTGCTTGCCCACCAGCGTGGAGAGGAACACAGTCGAATTTTGATAATTAATGAAAACACTGGAAGTAGTGCCATTTAGATCTTCCAAATAAGCAAGCCTGTATGTGCGGTGCCTTGGTAGCCTGGCTGTATTTCATCCCTAAGCTGTAAACACAGACGGCAGAATCGGTGCGAAATGGGGTGGGAAGCATCAGGTTCTTAAATTTCTTCCTCCTTCCCCCTACTTGTATCGTCCCTCTGACTGAGGCTGTAGCGGCAAAGGGGAAATTCCCTTTCAACACCTCGATTTTGGGGACGATACCAATTCGGAGTT